GAAAAGGGAGGCTCGACCTCTTTTGGGCCATCCGAGGGAAAGTTTGACCCCAAGACTGATTTTTGCAAATATTTAGTTAGGCCGGACGACCTTCGTTGCAAAACTAATTAAATACGTTGTCGTTTGATTTGAGCGCAGAGTTCGGTTTGCAGTAAAGCTAAGCAAATATTGGACGAGGTCCCATGAATGCAATTTTAAGGCGAGGCCTTTATTATTTGCACAATGCTGCAAAAGCGCAAAGCACACAGTAGTGGGGAAGACACTCAGTTTACCTGGAATTCGGCCCCAAGTCGAAGCCATTGTGCAAACATGGAGCTCCAGCCACAAAAGTAATCAAATTTTACTGCTGGAAGGGGAACGAAGTCCGATTTGTCACTTGGCAGCCGAGTCTGCTCTTCTGGTTTCTGGGCCAACACGTCGTATACGCAGTATTTCCACTTCCACTTGCTCTGCCATTCCCATTTGCATCTTGCATTGGCAAGTAAATATAAACGACTATTTATTGCATTCGAATTGATTTGGCATGCAGCCGGCAGTTTCAATTTGTGTGTCAGTTCAGTTTTCTATCCGTGTCCAACCCCTTCGGGTATCTTTTAATTAAGGCAAGCTGTTCGCTGGAAAGGTCACTCAATTAATATTGATTATGATAGTCTTTGAACAGTTTTATCCCACTAATGCATCTTGCATGCACAGCACTTAATTGACTGCTGGATTATCATCCGTTAACCGCTTTTTCCCAGCTCATTTTCGTTGTGCGCTCCATTCTTAGCTAATAAAGAGAGCTTCAGCTGCTCGCTGCTAGACAAACAACATTTAAATTGGAATTTTTCATTTAGATTTGCGGGACATTTTCCGAGCTCTTCGATGGCGAGGCTGCCAGAGGAGTTGTGGAGCCCACAGACACATCTGCTCGCCATTCTATGCATATGTGAGTGTCATATTTCATGATTTTGGCTCTATCTCTGGGCTGGAAAATTGAGCCACAAAATGATGGTGCTGCTCGCAAATAATGTTGATTTTTCGCAATTCAATTATCTTCCTTTTTTGTGAGAATTGGTTTGTCTGGAAACTGGTTAAAGTCAAGTTGTAATTGGTCAGCAATTTGCGGGCTAATTAAGCGGCTGATTAGAGGCAACTCAGCATGAGACTTGAACACCTGCCAGCAAATGGCGCTTTAATTCGGGGAAATTCGTCATTATTTTGAAGAGCGAATCAAGCTGGCTTAGTTCCAAAGGAAGGCTGTGAATTTTATGTATTTTGGCTCTTTAATTCGCCGGATTTGCGCATGCAAATTCGGGCATTAAATTATTGCCGGGCAATCGTAGGAATGCCGAGAGTTAAGGCCTGCTTTTCCATCTACAGCGGCCATAAATACCCTCAATTTATGTCAATTCGATTTGGCTGTAGCCTACGCACACGCACACACAAAACCTCTCACTCGCACACTCACACATGTACGCACAATCTCTAATGCCGCTGGCCATTTTGACGAGGCCCATTATTGCCGCTACTTTTCTGCCACTGGGTTTTTCCGCAATTGATGCGTGGAAATTCAATCTGGGCCGTGGTCGCTGCAATTTGTATTTTTCTTTGCCTGTTTAGTTACAGTTTTTTATTGCCTCGATATTTGTTATATACTGAAGGCGATCAAATTGTTGCTGGCAGCGCATTAGCCTTGGCAAAGTGTTTCATTGCCAGACGATTTTTCTTGCGGTTCAATGGAATGTCAATTGGAACACTCTGAAAAGCGAATGTCCTCTTTAAGAGGTTTAAATGAATGTATCTTTGATTTATTTTTGAAATTGGTTAAAATGTTACTAACATATTATTGTCATAAAATAGACTTGGCTTTTTTCTGAAGATTTTCTTTGATAAAATCTGAAGCAATAGTTTTTCTGCGTGTATCTGTCGCCCTTTGTGATTAGTTGGATTTTTCTTCCATGTTGTATTTATATATTTTTATTGGATTCGCAATTTCGCAGCCCTGAGTTTTTGAAGCACGCCCACGAAATGCGGCTGGTCACGGTGGAATGTAAGGGAAAATTGTGAGGGAAACTAGACTCGGTGGATATTACCACGTGCCGCTTAACTCCAAGTTTGCTTTCTCCGGGTGAAAGTTTTTTATGGCGGGCGGCGGAATTGCAAAGGCAGCCAAATGAACGTTGAGCGCATAAAAAGCGTCATTCAAATTACGGACATTATTCCTTTTACCACCCCGCCACTTTTCCATTTCCCGAGCGCGCTCTTCCTCAAAGTGCGAGTGTGTAACGCATTTAAATGGAAATGTCAGCGTTGCGGAAATTCGCAATGGCTTTAGCCAAGCAACCTGGCTTTGAGGTCCCTCCTCTTTCCTTTCTCCCGTGGCTTTTTGTGCTTTCTATCCTATTTTTCCCTTTTCACCTGCTTTAATTGTCTCCTGCATGTGTGGGTGTGTGCTGGTGTGTGTGGGTGTCATAACACCTTTTTACATTTGGCACTTGCCTTTTTATGCTCCTTATTTATGCATTCCGTTCATTTATTTTTCATTTATTGTCTCTGTGCGCTTGACATTTGCATTTCGCTTTCTGCCTTTGCATACTTTTGAGCGGCGCGCCAAATGTTAATCATACGCCGCGTTGTCTGCCGGAGCTCTAATTGAATTGCTTTGACGGCAGGTCAACGGCATCCTGGGCCCGGGAGTTTAAATCTTTAACAGAAACACCTGCTTTGATCTCGGCCGGCTGATAATCAGCCGCCCGAGTGTTTTTCTTATCAATTGGCAGGGAATCAGTTCTTGAAACAGCGGTGTCAGCGAATGTCAAAGATCCCACCGACGACGACAGTCCAAACAAAACAAGTGTAACGAAAAATACATTTGAGATGACAGCAGCGACGGCGTGAAATTTAATCAAATAAATTAGCAATAAAGTTTTATTTTCGCCGTTGCCTGCGTTACACGTTGCGTATACGCAATGTAAAAGTGAGCTTTTATTGCCCGTCAGCTTTTTGCGTTTGCAGCGCAGTTTTTTCGGGGTTTGGCGGATTTTCTTCCAGTTTTTATTTCCACAGTTTCAATTAACATTGTCAGTTTGATGCGACCCTCAGGTTTGAACCGAATTAAAACCGTTGGAAGGGGATTAACCCATGCCCCGGAAACCCACACGCTCACACATGTCAACCTGTCGAAATGTCCATTTAATTAGGACGAAATGAAGGATGTGATAAGGGTGAGGATTAGGTGGTTTTTAAGCTAGTGCCAGGCACCGAACCTATTTATAAGCCGCCGTTATCCAGGATCCTATATCCCTCGTTTGGGCCCTGCTCAAAGGCAGAAGTTAATTGAATTTTGTTTCTGTTTTACTTTTGGCTTGCGAAGTGCGTGACTGTCTGATAGTTTGCCAGTGGAGGACTGGAAGACATTAAATTGGTTTCTGAAAACACTTTGAACTGCGTGGGCCAGTACCATGAACCATAAATACGTGCATAAATTTGAGCACCATTAGCGATTTAGAGGCGCCAAAAGTTCTGGCAGCGATTATCAATACAATTTGCCATCCTGCCAGCCGCCAGCACATTTATCATTCAGAAATATGGCCCGAACTTGGGCACACACAAAGCCATTTTACATATTTTCGGGCATGCCCACGAACACGAAACGGGCGTCGAAGCAGTTTACCTTCATATTTGTTTCGCATACGCTTACAACTAAATAAATAAGCAACAAACAAACGGCGAACCGCAAACTCGAATGCAAATATATACCAGGACAAACGCAAACTGAAACCCGCAAAAGTATGCAACAAAATTTTAAACTCATGACGCAGCCAATTTATATGCACGAAAAAATAAAGCGAATTGAAATGAATCAACAATGAATTCGATACAGAGTCATCGGTTGAGAGCCTGTGCATGTGGAAGGATCGAATGGCTGGTACCCATTCATTAGTACCTCTTTTAGATGAAACCAATCTTAAGGTTTACAACAGTCGAAGTAAGAAATGCGAAATGCTATAAGCTAAAAGCAATACAAAATCATTGAATCATTTTTCAGTAAATTCCACCTACTTACAACTCCATTTCCCTTTAGAGAATATTCCCCAAATAAAGTAAATGCTGGGCATCTCGAATGGAAAACCCAAAAGAGTTTTAGCGAAATGAAAAATTGAAAAACGCTCGGTGAAAAGCGATGATTTTGCGGTCGCCAGCTGAACTGATGCGTATCGGCGGCTTAGGCTCTGGACAAAGGGCATAAATCATGGTGTATTTATCATAAATCAAATTGGATTCTGCTCAGCACGCCGCCCACTCCCACCGCCCCTCACATCCCGATTGGGATTCGATTGGGAGCTGGCTGATGTGTTTGCTTGGCGCGCATATTTTATTTATGATTCCTTTCCAGTTGAGTTGCGAATTTGCTTTGTCTCTATCTGTCAGAGCTTCCGCTTCGGCGTCGATTCCTGATTTTTCCCGATTTTCTTTATCGGATCAATCATTGTTTCATAATAATTGGGGAGTCGGGAATGTAAAGCAGGTGAAGAGGGAATGGCAGGCCGACTGACAGCCCATCGCCAGTAACTTACTCGATTGACGTGGCATTATCAACTGGTTCGAAAAAAACCGAAGAGCCAAGAAGTGATAAATGCGGTCTGCCACGGGAAATGGCCTGAAACCCACACTACTTTAGCTTTTTGCCTTGACCATTTCCACAAATTACTCGACACTTTTCCTAGGGCACTCTGAATGCGAAATATCTGGCAGTCATCAGCTATTAGCTGAACAATAAATTCACTTCATTTCTTGGGCGGCCTCTATGTCGGACTCCTATTCAAAGGGTCAATGATATGTAAAGGTCAGCGCCTTTGCGTTTATGGTTTTGTTTCTGGGGCGAAATATTCCTGAACATTTTCACCATAATCTCCTTATCTGAAAGCCATCTTGAAGAAGTTTGCGTTTTTAATTGCAAGTGCATTTACCAATTTAAAAACGTGAATTTAATGTTTCCTTTACAGTGTTCCTGAAGTTTAAGAAAGATTACCATAAAAGTCGATTTTCCCTCGAAGAATGTCGTAAGCGATCCAGTTGGTCCGCAACATATATTGGCCTTCGGGAAGTGGCAGAATGTGAGTTAATTGGTTATTCAGGAAAGAGGTGGGTAACTTGTCAATGATGAGATCATGCTAGAAGAAGATCGAAATAAGTAAAGAATTTGGGTTTCTGGCTACAGGCTTACATCGTAAGGACAAGTATGATTCAAATTGGAATAAGGCCTCAAAAGGCTGTAAAAGAAATCCGCGATAAGATTTGATTTTGTATTTTTCAGGAAGCGACAGGAGTCCACTGTTATGTTGTAAAGAAACGGTAAGTATCCATTCAGGCGTTTGTACAACGCAAAGTTTAACTACAAAAAAGATAGTAATTATAATTATATCTTTGCTAATTACTCGGTATTAACTAACCTTTACTTTGGTCACTGGAGCTTGCAATAACTTCGCTTTTATGGAAATGTATTTATAAGTACGATTTATGGACTTTATGTAGCAGTGTTCCATTATACAGAAACTTGGATCTGTGCAATTGCATTTGATGTTAGTGTACTCAAACTTCGATGTGATCTATCAATGAAATAGTATTACTGTTTATTAATTTTTATTAATACCATAATATAGAGGTGTACCTCTGAAACCAAGCACAGCACTAAAAACAATTTAACGAAATTCTTGAGCTCCGAACACATCTTGGTTCATTGAAGGACCAACTGAATCTGATCTGATTTAAGCTTGGGCAATATTTTCCGATGAAATTAAGCAATTATTTGAACGATTATTTAAGGGTTGATTGAACAGAGTTTAAGCATTTATTTTTGTGATAGTAACATTATTTATTTATTTATAGGAATAATAGACTTCAATGGCGGAACTATTCAACAGCAACATTTACATATAAATTCGAACTATTTAGTTACTATGGTAAACTATCTTTTTTGAATATCGGTCAATATGTGGCAGACGGAAGATTATGTATAATAGCCGAGAACTTAAAACCTTTAATTATTCGTGACTGACAAACATTTAGATCCGCAGCTCGAATGTAAAATATAAATTCTGTTCTATTAAATAATTTATGTTTTTATCTGTGGTGGCGTAGGTCGTGTTCAAGTTAAACGGTTAAATTATGGAAAAAGAGTGATTAACATATCGGTACGAGAAGCCTTCCATTTAATAAATATTTCCATAAAAGCCAATTGTTGCCCGAAGAACGCCGTAGGCCATCCAATTGGTCTGCACCAGGTAGTGACCTTCAGGGACCGGCAAGACGTTGGTAAACTGATGAGTCATGTCGGCGATTGTCAACTTATCTAAGACAAGATCGTGCTAAGAGGCCAGAATTAAAGTAACGTATCATTTGTTAAACATAAACTTACATTGTAGGGACAAGAGTGGTTCATATTGGAGTGAGTCCTTAAAATTTGATAAAAGAAGTTGGCAATCGGATGCCGATTGGGGTTTTCAAGGAAGCGGCACGAATCCACTGTCACGTTGTATAGAAACGGCACATAGCCATTCAGTCGCTTAAAAACAGCGAAATTTATCTGCAAGTAAGACTGTGGTTACACTTTAATTTTCTGTGTGAGAGTTATTTCTAACAAACCTTAATCTTCGTCACAGGAGTCTGGAAAAGTATCGCCTTGAAGGAAATATATTTGTATGTTCGATTTATGGGTTTTATGTGGCAGTATTCAAAGGCCGTGAAGTTCTTATCCACAGCAGTGCACTTAAGGTTGGTCCACTCAAACTTTGAAGTGTTCTATCACGAAATTTGTTTTATAATAATTAAACATTGAGTTCTAATAGTGAGATACCTCCCAGACCAAACACAGAATAACCAACAACCGGACTGCACTATTGAGCTTAAGAGACATCCTGACACATCGGAGTGCTTAGCAGTACTGAATGATATATTTTCGATTGTCAATCTAGATTCTGGGCCCCGCTCCATTAACCACAATCATTGAGTTTAGATCATGGAAGATTTATATTTTCCTGATAGATAATAGTTCTTGATTCTATAAATAGCTGACGTTAGTTATGAATGCTGTTCGGCATCGTGTAACTTTATATTGGCCATATAGTTTTCTCGCAATTCACACATTAATTCCTTTTTAATTCCTGCAGCTGTTCGAACTTTTCCCTTTCGTTTTGCTTGACTCACTTTCCCACTTTTATTGGCATTTCAAAAGCTGGGTATAAAGGAGTACACGGTTTTCCCAGCAACTTGCGGGAAACGTGATTGAATTTACAGCCAACTACCATCGAATAGTCGGAACTGGGAAAATATATATTCCCGTAGTTCCCTGCAGCATGTTCTATTTGAATTTGTGGCACTTTTATTGAACACGGACCTGCATTAAAAAAACATATTTTATCGCGCCGTGAGAGCTTGTTACCCCGGTGTTTTCGCGTTGTAGTCGTTGCTTCTGTTCCGAAAGTAAACAACTATTTTTATTTTTGCCTTTTTTACACCGACCAGACACCAGCCACCAGCCACCAGCCACTTTCGAATGGACTACAGCAGTAATATTTCTGATCGCTCGTCTGTTTAATGAATTTTTGTATTTAATGAATGAACAACATTTTTCCTGTTGCCTCCTTCTGCTGTGTGTGTTTGGGTGTTTTTTGTCTGTTCTGTGTGTGTGAATTTTTATTCGTTTCTCTTTGCCAATTGATTGGAAATATTTCTTTTCATGTTTTTCAATTTGAAAACCCAAAAACAAGAGTGCCCAGCGGTGGGCAGCTGCAGCCTCTTTACCCCCCCTTTCACCCCTCACAATCTCGGTGGGAAAGTGCTTTTGAGCGATGGCACATGAGCTCCCCTTTTGTTTAGATAATAATAATTTTTGCCATTTTATTTCGGTTAGCTGGGGGCTCTCCTCTCGATTTATGGTCTCTGCCCGCCCGACAGCTAATGTTCGCTTATAAAGCTTTAATTTATTTTGTTTTGATTACTGATTATTATCTTCTCCATAAACATACGCGGTTTTCTCTTATGATGATTGTCGAGCGGAACATTTCTGACTTTTACTCGAATCCCAAGCTATTGGCTGGATAATATTGATGCAGTTGGAATCAATTTTGAGTTGGTCAGATGTTGGATTTATACGAAGAAACGATTTCAGAAGTAGAAAGAAGTTACAGACAGATGTTAAAAATGAAGTCCTGTTTTCAACTGTTAACTAAGGCTGTTAACTTTGCAGACTTCCCCCTGGCTGAATTCTGCAGAACCATTTCAGCTTGGGCGCCAAATTTGAATTTGAAGATGTTAGGTTTTAAGCAGCTGTTAATAAATATATATAACTGTTACGGAATTACAGAAAGTCCTCCAATCAAATTCCTCAAAAATGTATTTCAAAATAAAATAGAAACTGAAAATGACAGAATTATCTTCTCAGACATGCAATGCCTCCAAATATTGCATTTGCTCAGTATTGCCTTTCCCATTTTAAACAAATGTTAAAACAATTTTGCAAATAAAGTAAAAGCCTATACTTACCAACAATGCAGTGGGTACTAAGCTTCTATAGATGCCCTATATGTCATACGATTGAAAATGCTTCTGCGGTTTTTAACTAAGTGCAAAGAGATACTTAATTTTGGGAAAAATATTAATAAGATTAACAGATTTGTTGTTAAGAGGTAGGAAAACCAATACTTCTTTAATATTTTTTATATATTTGTCATATTTTCTGAATAGTTTTCGATGCCTCGTTAAGTTATAGTAGGAAGCTAATCCCCCGTAAACAGTGAGTAAGGCATCTTAAAGTTACTCACTTCTCCAGCAGCAGGTGTTTAAACGAACTGAGTTAATTACACGTAAATATATGTAAATTTTTAGTAAATAGCCTGCAACCCGCCGTGCGATATTGCAAATATTTAGCCATTACTCGAGCCATGGCAAATATTTAATATACAGTTGGCTTTCTTGATTTTTCCCCGCCGGTGAGTGTTTCGTTTTCCGCGTGTTCTGCTCTAGAACCACGCTCTCCCATGCGATATTCCCTGTGTTTGCCTGAGACTTTCCCCTGGATTTCCTCTGCTGGCAACAGAGCTCTCTCTCGCGTTCCCTCTGGCTGAGTTTCCCCGCCCTGCACAGAGTGGGAGAGAGTGAGAGCAGACCCACTGACACAGTGATAAAGAACGGCCACTGATAACAACGCGCAGCTGTGTGCGTGCGGAGAGAGAGCACTGTTATGGCATGTAGAACGTCGGATATACTGTCCGATATGCTGTTAAGGTCGCACAGGTACGAGGCTCTCTCTGTACCGCTCGGCAATCGCTGCTCGGAGGTCGGCGGTCGCGTTTCCAGTTAAACTTTTACCGAAAAGGCGGACGGACGGGTCTTGAAGTCAATCGTCGGGCTCCGCAGTTTCTACGCGATTCGGCTCCTGGGTTCCTGACAGCCTCCAAGAGATTTCAAATAATCCAAAACCAAATCCAAATAAATACGAAGTGCTGAAAGTATTTGCAGGAATTATTCATATGAAAATTACCACAAAAAACGGGGAAAATCGAGCACAGAATTCCAAAAATAATTCAAACCTCTGCGGATCAAAATAAATAAATAAGTGAAAATATTTTCAGGAATTATTCAAATGAAAATACCCACAAAAATACGCAAGAAATTGTATCTGTTCGTGCTACTTGAAATCAATGAAAAATTCAATGCTATTAGTGTGTGCGAAACGAAAATAAATATCGGCCAGTATCTGCCTGTGTCTACATAAGTATGAATGGAAAAAGTGCTCAAGAGTAAATAGGCCGAAAGTCAAAACAAAGAATATCTTGGACAAACTTGTGCAGTTTCTTCGTGGCTGTTTTCCAACGGCAGTGCTATTATTAAAGTAATTTGTCCGACACTTGCCACCTGTTCGACGACTTTTGGAAACACACAATTTATGCAAACGACTTCGAGAAGAAAGCCGATCCGATCCACAGCGCCAGCAACAGAAAGTGAGAGTGTCGCCAGTCGTTGACCCAGTGTAAGTCCCTAGTCCAATATTGTTCTGGATTTGTTTACCCCTGCGTCGAGTAAACCCGCGACTTTTGCCACCTTAACACCAATCTGACGGCGATCTTTGTTATCGCCCAGTGTTAGTCGGAGATTTAAATATAGATTTATGGCGGGCAAACATTAACTGGACCGCCTACCCGCCCCGTCTTGGGCCACTGTGGATGATTGACCTAGACCAAGGGGAAATAAATAGTTGCCAGTTACTCTAAGTGGTTGTGTCTGCTTTCCCACCGCCCTTTCGAGGGCCCTCGAACGTAAAAAACAGCCACTGACTAGCACAAACACTTCAGCTGGGGGCATAGCTAATCAAATTACAAAGTCACAAACCGCTTGATTTGATAATTCTGTTAGGCTACGGGTGTTCCAAGCCATGTGCCGTGCCGCAGATGCTGCCGCTCTGCCACCGCCTCGGGAATGTGCAGCAGTTTTATCTTTAAAGTTGCCAAATTACCTCGCACAGATGTGCACCCAGCGTGCGGGTGCGGCTTTGTGTATAAATTTACACTTAACTGCAAAACAACAGGCTTAATTGCCCGAAACCGAATAAAACTCAGCGTGCCAGTGGATGTGGCTCACTGGTCCTGGGCCAAGTTCTTAAGAATAATTCGAGTACCCAGTAGGAGGGTATATCAATTTTTCCATTCTGATTGTTTTGACTCATCTTAATCCGAAACTTATGGTAAGGAATGCATCAATGCTCCTTAAATTGAGTATTCCTAAATACCAAAGTATCGAATTGAAGGCTAAGCGAGATGGTAAACATTTAAATAGGTAACTAAAATAGGGAAAAAACAATAACAAACTGGGTAGCCTCCAGTTGCAAGCAACCCTTGCGAGTGTGTGGGACTATTCCTTAGCAATCGCAACAACTGCCGCGGCGCGCATCCTTGAACATGAAAAGTGAAACGAGAGTGCTGCCAAAAGATGGCGGGACAATTCGGGCGGGCACTTACACTAATTACAGTCGCCGTCACTTAAAGTGAGTCACGGCCACATGGGCCACACGTGTTCGCCACTGCGTTGGCTTAAAGCATCAAGCATCAGGCACTGGGCGGCGAAGACGTCGGAGTGACACAGTTTTCCGACTGCCGGAGCAGTGAGGCGGCTCTCCTTTCATCTATTGTAAATTGAGTCTCGAGAAAGAATGGCCAGCACAATGGGGCGTATGCGTAATACGGTCGACAGCTTGACTACATTCACCGCATCTGCATTGTCTGCCCGGAACATTGCTCATACGCCAGGGTTGCAGCTGCAAAACAAACGGAACGCTCAAATCAAAGGCGACAACCCGCAACAATGGAGCTCAAAATGCCACCAGGCATGGCGGAAATATAAAGTAAACCATTGTCTTGCCACATTGCGTCAGTGTTTACTGCTCATCCCTTTGGCCCAGTGATCAGTGCGCAAACGCCGCTTCGCACCTTGGCGACGTTGTTAATAAGCTTAAATTAATTAATAATTAACCATAGTCTAGCTAATAAAAGCGATATAAAAGCGAGAGGGTCAGCCGGGCTGGTCATTTCGTGCCATTGTCTGTGGAGCTGCTGCCCACGCTTATCGTAATGGCCAAAAAGTTCTAATCGAGGCAATTAACGTGGCCAAATTTAATTTCCGTCCCCAAACGCTATCAGTACCAAGAACAAAAAACGGCCAAAAGAAGACGGAGCGGGGCTAGCTTTTTATTTACAAAATATTAGTTCATGCCAGCCATTGGGAAATCCATCATGTAAGCCCGGGATTTCTCCGCTGCATGTTTTTTTGTTTGTTCTGGGCTTCCCTGCTTGTTTGTTTGTTCTATTTGTTTGTCTTTCTCCTCTTTTGTGGGCCTGATAAACGACCATGGCTCCCAGGTATTCTTGCTGGGAGTTTGAGGAGCTGAAAGACAGAGTCAGGGGGGAGGGCGGTTGCCTTTGAGTGGCCATTAAGCAAATTACTTATGTTAATTAGTTGCCACGGCTAATGAGAAATCTCAAGGATTTGCAGTCCGTGATAAGTCAAATTTAAAGCGGGACGGGCCTTGGCTGGGCGGGGGCAAAAAGAGCCTTTTCCTGATTATCCACCTTCCGTCCCAATTTAGCCCTGTTGATTTATGATGCGAGACTTACCCAAGCGAAATCTCGACTTGAAAGTCAATTTCACAAAGCCCCGGGCCTTGCCACACAATGAGAATTCAATTTCCCCCCTGCGCCCGCCTTCCCGGAGAACTGAGACCCTTTGATTCATCAAATTGCATTTATTTGCCAGATGAGCGGACTGCAACAATGGGGATGCAACAGTTTGCAGCAAGAAACGCATTCGGAAAATTGCATAAATAAATAATACGGCACAATAATTGAGGAGCAGCCCGGCTTGGCAAATAATCTCGGTTCTCGGCTCTCGATTCTCGGTTCTGCTTTGCAGAAGAAAACAATTTCGATTTCAATTTGCCACAAACTGTAATCAATCCAAGAGAGTTGGCTATTTCAGTAATATCCGAGTATGGGAGTCCTGTTGGGCGATTCACATGATATGCATAGTTTATCTGCTTACCCGGTTATCGAATTATTTTCTCATTGGGGCTTAATCAGTGGCTTCCATCGAAATCCCTTAACCCATTTAAGGCCATGCAGATGTTTGCGTTTAAATTAAAATGCGGCAATGGATTTGTTTGCCTTAAGCCGTAAAATAATTAAAAACGTAATTAGCTTCGTGCAATTCACATGCATTAATGTATTCAAAATGCCGGCAGCTGAGATCGGATTGGAGCGAAAGTGGGGATTCCGGACTGGCTTTCAGGTCAGTGCGCCAGTTGGGAATAATTTCATTAAAATCAACTTTGGCTGCCCAGCCTGCGGTCAGTTGAAAGAAGATTAATTACTGACTTTATTTTGACCGGACAGCAGTGCAACCGACTTCCCACTATATAATTCACTATTGACACATAATCGATGCCTGGGCCCAATTCATGAAAAACTAATTAAGCCCCGTGAATGCGAAAAAATTAATTCAAATTGTAAGTAAGTAGTAATAACCTAACCAGACATTAACTCCAGTGCACAATATATCTTAATTCTGCGCATAATTAATGCCTGCAATTAAGTTTTGTTCCCCACCTTGGCTTGCTCTTGGTATGTCTATATGGTGGTATATTTGTAGGTGTAGTAAGTATACAGACACACGCACTCGGAGACGTAAACAATCCACTTAACATGCTGGGAAATACCATTTGATCCTGCCATCCATCTCCTGCCGCATTGCGTATACGCAGCGTGGGCCGGCATCAGCAAGAGCAAGAGCAGAAGCAGGAGCAGCCAGAGCCTTTGGCAACATTGTGTCACGCACATTATTGATGGGCCGGCTCAATCGTTTCGCCTTGAGTTTCCTTTGGGGTCTCGGTTACAGCTTCTGGTTACGGTCTACGGAGTTCCACTCCGGATTCTCTACGGCATCTGGGCAATTACGGCTCGTTGGGCCCTGTTTATTAAAACGACATAATTGCGAATTTAAGCCCGAAGCTCATCGCTGCCCCGACTGCCCTGACTGCTCTGACTGCCTCCAATCAACTGGATCATCTGCGGCCTGCCGCTGGCAGACTTTCGATTTCCCCTGCCCAGACAGCTTTTGAAAGTTTTCCGGGAAAATTGGCATACGCAGCGGTCAGAAACAGAACAGAACTTTGGCCTTGCCAAGGAAAGCAGAAACACTGTCCGCACGCCTCTCTTTTCAATTATGATTAATGACCAGTAATTAAAGCCATGAAAGCGACCTTCGGCGGATATACAAATTGATTAGAGATGGACACGTGAGTGGCGGCCAAGATTAGCAAGTCGTCGAAAGTTGACTAGTCATGGTGTATACGGTCTAAATAAATACGGAGATGCTAAACAAAGATTAAAGGAAGTGAAGTGGAAAAATCGTATCTCAATTTTAATTTGATTTCTTTAAAAATTAAAAAAACTTTAAAGAAATACCTGTATTTACCTTTTTGCCTTTGTTTAAGAACGTTCATTGAATGACTCCACTGTACCTTTGCCTACACAATGAACCTCTTTCGTCCCTGCTGATAGTTAACGGTTCGTTCGAAGGACTCGACCTGGGCTGTCACATCTCCAAGTCAGACACATTATCTTTTATTAGCCAAATTGTACACACTTGAGTGGGGCCAGAACTCAAGCCCTGACGCCGCAGAAGTCATTCAGCATAAATCAGGGCAGCGTCCTCCGACCCAAAGAGATGCTCAAGTGTTTTGGCTTTTCATTAATTAAATTGCGGACCACCTTTCTGGGCAGGATTGTTTATGTTTTGATTAGGCATTAGGCAGACGGCAGACGGCAGAAGGCAGAGAGCAGAGAACATAAAGCAGAGGGACGAAAACCGAAAACATGTTTGGGTTAAGTGCAGGCCCTCGAGGTCCTTCAAGTGGGTCCTTGTTCTTCTGTCTCGAGGGTGCATTATGGGGTGCCCAATCCAGTTCGATTCTAGCTGGGGCATGCCCCGCAGACCCATTAATCACCGCCGATGTCTGGCAAGACAGCCGCGAGTGTTTGCCCACCACGCTTTTGATGGCTAATTGCATACAAGCCAGCCGAGCTCATTCCGTTCCGCCAGAACAGCTAATTGTAGACATCTTGTACTACCTGATTGTGTGTTAGCCAGACAATTTGCCATTGCAAAGAGTTCGCAACGTGTGCTAATTGAATTGTAATCGACTTTGGCATGCAATTAGACGCTGCACTGCGAGGTGGAGCGCCAGATGCAAAGTCCCTCGTGGCTGGGCATAATTACTGCCAAGATCTACTTTAAGTTTTCTGTTTGTTCAGGTAGAAGTGTGTTACATATAGCAATAATTAAAGTATTAATAGGGAAAAGTATACCTATTAAACTTAGAAATTACTGAACTTGAGTGGCCATTTACCTGTTGATTATACTTTCCTACCTCTAATAGAAATTTCTCCTTGTGTAGTGCAAGCTGTGTACAAACTGCTATTT